GTCAGGGAAGACTTCCTGGAGGAGGGGCCTTAAAGGAGAGGTAGAAATCAGGACCACAGAGAAGAATGGCAACGTTTGACAAACACAAGATGTTTAATACATTTTGTTGGGTGATAATAACAGGACAGTCCAGGCCAAAGTCAAAGAATGGACAAGTGGGGACTTTTACGACATCTTAGAAGAAGGGGAGAAAGTACTGGGAAGCACTTTTCAAACACACTGCACTTTCCCATTCATTCTCTCATCATATCCTCGCAATACTCGTGGGAGTGGGTTGCCTGGGGGTTATGCCACCATATCGAAGAGTAAGAAACTGAAACCCGTTGGAGGTCTGGGGTAACTCCAGACAAAGCGAGATTTACTTGATGTCACACAGCCAGGGAGTGCCAGAGCTGGCAGCAGAACCTGGTTTCCTAATGGCCTCGCCTTTATAACTTCTGGCTTTACAGCTGGAATCCTGAGGGTGTGAGGACAGGAAGTAACTGGGGAGAAGGGACAGGAAGGCTTTGGGCTATTTAGTGGGAGAACTCCCTCTAGCTGGTGACCAGTGCCCACTTTCTAGTGCAGGCCTCCTCAGCACTATCCCATCCTGATCCCCCGGCAAAACACTCTCCCGTCTTCTGCCTGTGAAGACAAGTATTTCTGACCATTATTTCAAAGGAAGAGGCATGGGCCTGGTGGACAGGCAGGGACATCAAGCTGCAAAGGAGAAAACCTAGAGCCAGGCTCAGGGGCACGTGACCCAGTGAGGTCATGTACAGGAACAAAAGTGAGCCAGTGAGCTCCCTGAGGGAGAGGCTCTTTATAACAAGTGTTAAATATGTCCCGTGCCATCAGTCTTGGGACTGTCCACAAAAAGGCAGAGAGGAGAATGGAAAGAAAGCAAGCACTGGAGCCTGGTGACATCCAGGCTCCACTTAGGAGCTGTCACTTTGGACAGATTACTTTACTTCTTTAAGCTTCTGTTTCCTTATTAGGGAAATGAGGAGAATAATTCCTGCTTTGTAGGGCTATTGAGAGGATTATATAGGATTGTGAGAGATAAAGCAACCAGTGCAGGGTCCACAGCCCAGCAGGACCCCAGTCCAGCAGAGAGGTGCCGGGGCTGCAGCAGATTAACAATAAGAGCAGTAATGGTAGCAGTAGCAGTAACAGCAGCAGCAGCAGCAGCATTAGTAGTACTAGCAGTAGTATTAGTAGTACTAGCAGTGGTAATCAATGCTTTGGGGAGATAAGTCTGAAATTAAGGTTCATTTATTGAAATGAGCTCAGGGTGAAATTTTGGATTTGAGATGCTTTCATTGTTTTTTTTGTTCTGCTATTCTCACTGAGCACCTCTGATGAGCCTGGAATTGTGTTAGGTGCTGTAAGAGGTGCAGAGATGAATAAGGCCCCATCTCTGCTCTCTGGGAATTCAGTGGTAGTGGGAGAGGTGACCACCATCTTAGTGAAGTAAATACATAAATAAGCAAAGTGCTGGGGGATACAAGAAAAGTTGAAATTAATTACGACTGAAGAGATGACTAGGGAGGACGTCATGGAGTTGGCACGTCTGGGCCAACCCTTGGATGAAGGGATTTCCTTTAGTGAAGAAGAGTAGAGACGGTGGGTGGATATGAGAGACACCCAGCAGGCAGAACCTGCAGGATGTGGGAACTGATCAGAAGAGGATTGTGAAAGACACTACAGCAGGCTGCTACCCAGGCTCCTGGCCTGGGCAGTTGATTTGAAAGAGATGCTGTAAACACAGGGGCTGGTTTTAGAGAGATCCAGTGAGCTCTCTGGAGAGACAGAGAACTGGAGGCATGGGGGTCAGCGAGGGGCTGTGGCAGCGTATGAGGTAGGGGCCAATGGGGGGTGGGTAAGGAGGGAAACATGGAAAAGAGGGAGGAAGGAAAATACACAGCAGTCCAGCCAGTAAGTATCGCATGCCCATTTTAATGATGGGGAAAGTAAACTCTGCTTTAAATGATTCACAAGACAAGGTGGAAAAAAAGCAAGTAGGGGAGCTGAGATAAAAACACTGGTCTATCTGACTCCAGATTCGCTCCGTTATGCTGCTCGAAGGCAGAAATGTCACAGAGGCAGACACAAGCGGGCATCGTGACTTGCTGTGTGGGGTGGTGGGGGTGGGAGTTGAGACAATGGCAAGGTTTCCAGCCTGAGCAAAAGGAGACATTAACCAAGACAGCCAGTGCCATGGAGAGAAGCAGCTTCGGACTTGAGATTGATACGGAGCCAGCAGAAAGTAAATCTCAGGTCTTTGAGGGACAGGTAAAATTTAAGCAGTAAGTGCTGTAACAGGAGACATAGGGATACCATTCTGCACTGGCCAGGCTCCATGTTGAGGTCTGGGGTTGAACCCCTGAGCAATGAGGGGTGGCAGAGTCAGGTTTGTGTCCAGGGCCTGTCCTTATTACTTTCCAGGTGTGGACCATGGACAAGGGATTTAATCACACTCATCTCAGTTTCCTCACCTGAGAAATGGGGAACACAAGCCCTGTCCAGCATGCACCTGGGTTTGGTGAGAGTAGGAAGAACCAATATAGGGGACAGTTCTTCAGGGAATGTCCTGAGCTGTAGTGGGCAGAGCGTACCCACCAGTATGATAACTTCACAGAGACTATTCCTGAGAAACTGTGTGCCAACCAAAAATAACATAGAAAGAGTCTCTTATAAATCCTGCTAAGCTTTGTCTGTTGTTATTTTAATAAAACATGGTATCTTGGAGAACTGATACCCTCCCCACCTTGTTTTAGTCTTGTCAGTTCTGCCTCAGTTCAGGCTTGGTGAACACTGTGCTCCACACTGCCTCCCCATCTGCTCAGAGGCCCAATGTATAAAGCCGCTTTGCTTGGGTGAATGTATGAACTGAGGCTCAACAAACGTAAACCACTCCAGACTTCCATGGTTGGCACGGCTCTTACAACTTAGGAAAATGAGTTGTGGTCCTCTTAGGCAAGTCTCAGGCATGTCACTGAATTACTGTGAAAGGACACAGCTCATCCTGTGCCCCTCTCCTATTCAAAGGCAATAGGAAAACCCAGCTAAAGGTTCCCTGCTGCTGCTGCTGCTGCTGCTGCTGCTGCTGCTGCTGCTGCACTGACAGTATCATCAAGGCAGGTGACCCAGACTCTGCTATGGCCTCAGCACAAGAAACTGGGGGCCTCCTACTTGTGGATCTCAGTTTTTGAGGCTAAATAGACCTTCACTTCTGTCTCTGAGCCTCTGGACTGATGCAGAAAAACACTGCCATTACTTATGAAGAGTTGTGTGAGAGTAAAGTAGAGGCCCAGCATATTCATCCCTTCTCCACCTGTTTGTTTGTACAGCTAGCTGTCTCTCCCCTTCCTGCTTGTGGCTCTATCCTGAGGAGAAAGTGGGCAGGCAAGAAGAGAGGCTAGAGCGCCCTCTGCTGGGTCTGGGTGGGCGAGTTTACCTTTTAGGTTGGGTTGGTGCTGTCCTCTATCTCAGTGCTGAAATCCTTCCTGCTAACTTGAGACCATGGGCATAATCTGGTCCAAAAAAAAACTAGGGAGTTGTTAAGCAGCCAACGTCACAGGGAGGTTCCCTGGAAACTCTTCCTTTCATGGCCAGGCCTTCTCTCTCTGCTCTGACAATGTGGAAGAGCAGAGAGTACTATTGCAAAAACATCCTACAGTCAGCTTTATAGCCATACATTTTTTCCTCTAAAGGAATGCTACATGTTAGCAAAGTCCATGTGCTGTAATTTAGACACAATGAATGGCACCTGCTTAGTACTAAAATATACTTTTCATGCTGTATACTCCATTCTCTGACAGCAGTTATGTAACCTCCTGCCTCACGCCATTCCTCTCCAGACTGACAGATTAGAAGGTGATGCCACAGAGCACCCAGCATCTCCCTAGAGAAGGAGCCCCCATTTCCTCCATGACAAGTGTTTACTCAGATTCTGCTTGCATACCTCTAGTGACAGGGAGTTCACGGTTTCCACAGGAGCCCATTCAATGATTGGCAACCCTAATCACCTCATTTTTAAACTAAAATCTATCTTACTGAGAATATTTTCCTAGAGTTAGTTTTTACTTTTGACAACACAGAGAAAGTTTGCTTCTTCTGGACAAAAAGAATATCCAAGATATCTTTTTAACTTTGTACAGATTGCTTTCCTACTTCCACTCCCCCTTATTATTTTTTTTTTATCTCAGAGACAAACAACTTCACTATCTTTTTCCACTTCTACTGGGAAATGATTGGCAGACAACTCGCCATGCTGGCAACATTACCAATAGCAGAGCCATCATTTATTGAGCTCCTTTTCTGATATTCCCCATACCTAAATTATTAAACTTCCATAACTGCTACAATGAGGTAGACATTATTATTACCATCTTATGGGTGAGAAAACAAAGATTCAGAAAGGTTAAGTAATTTGCCCAAGATAATACAGCTATCAAGAGACAGGGCCAGGGTCAGGATGCAGAATGAAAACCCAGAGTTGCCTGGCTCCAAGGTTTTGCTTATAAACTATTAGCATACCCACTGCTTGTGAGGCTTGTGAGTCCTGTGAGCCAATTAATCAAAGCAGGTTTTTAAAAGTGGGGCCTAAATATATTCCCAGCATACGGGAATGATCATGCCAGAGAAAAATAGACCAGGACTGTCATCTCTCTTATTTTATGCTTTCTGCGTTTATTTATGCTATCTCAAGAGATGCTGTCCTTTCTGAAAGACCTGTCTCACTGTTGGCTCCTGCTGAGCTGGTTGCAGTCAACTAAATCCCCAGGACTCTGACATGGGAACTGCTGGAAAGTCAAGTCTTGACTGTTCTGCCTTATCTTGTTGACAGAGTCCCTGACAGCAAAGTCGGGGTTATACCAAATTTGGGTTGGCTGTTTGGTTCCTGAAGGAGTGGGAGACCTAATGGAAAAGGTACCATGAACACTCAGAGGAACAGAAGAGCTGCATAAACCACTTTATTTGTGTTCCTCTGGGCAACAAGCACACAGGGGAGAAGCTGTATACACAACAGAACATTTGTAGCCAGCTAACATATGGTTCTTTGTTATAATTGCTGAAAACCAATAAGCAAAGGGAGAATAAGCTTTGCTCTTGATTTTCACAACAAACTTAGAAAATCTTCAACCCAAAGGAAAAAAAAGTGCTTAACTGGAGCTTTGTGCTAAAGGCCCTATCTCCCTTGAGCCTCCCTTCCTCTCCCTATCCCCTAATCCTCATTTCCTGGAGGTCATTTTAATTAGCAGGCTGTCACGGTGACTCAGCCTGCCGCATTGCAACGCAGACAGGGAGGGAGCAGACTCTCCTGGACCCATTCATCATACAAAGGCACTTTACTCTTTAGAAAAATACACAATATTAAGCTTGCCCCACCTTGGAGATTGCTACTGCTGTTGTTTTATTGTATCATCCCCACCTGCCTCAGAGTGCATCTTTTTGTCTTTTGTATCTTCTTTACCTGGCAGCCAGCCTTGCCCCATTTCAGACTAAATGCCCACCTTTTCCGTGGCCAGGTTTGATCTGTGACCACAGGATGTGGAGCATGAGTGACCAATACTTACTGTCTTTGGAGCTAAAATTGGGAAATAGCTCAGAAGAGTTTTCTGATGCTGCATGCTGGGGTTTGGGGGAGTCAGGGGGGCATGCAACTCACAGATAAAGTGGCTGAATGTCTAAGACAAGCTGTGATTTCAAAAATGCTGTCCCACTGTTTCCAACAGTACATTTGTCTTTGGGTTGTAAGTGTGGTTGATGTTATTTTGGGCCAGCAAATATGGACACAGCTTTTCTAAAACCGTAAACTTATTCTTAGCTCCCTCTAAAAGGTAGCCATCTGTATGGAGTGAATATACAACTGAAGCAGGTAAACTGACCTGAGATGTGTCAAACCTCTCAAAGGGGGTGTGTCCAATTCCCCTTCCTGTGCGGGTGTCTGTGTGGTGGACAAGGGCATCTGTCCTCGCTTGGTTTGCCTCTCCTATCTCGTTCCTGAGACATAAGCTGAAGCCTTACAATTGATTTCCCGTTGGTCAGAGGGAGAATCAATGATGAAATTTTTCATTTTTTCCCTCTCCTTTCACTAGCTTTCTCATCATCCCACAGCCCTGGTCTTGGAAACTAAGAGGGTGATCAATGCCAGGCCCTGGCAGAAAGCGCACGCTCCTGCCTCCACAAGACCGCCCGGACTTCACATCCTCAAAAAGGGCCTGAAGGGTCTTTGTGGTCCACTGAGATCTTCTTGTCCCTTTTGCCGTTGGGGTAGTTGCTGGCCCGGCCCCGCGGGAGTAGGGACTTGTGGGGAGGGGGTTTTTCTTTCCTGCAAAGGGGGAGATAACAGAAAGAGAAAAGAAAGACAGCACATATACACACTGTACTGAAAGCATTTGTGTGCATGTCCATATCCCCCACTGAACTCTGACCTCCTAGGAACAGCGACCTTGTCTTGTCCAGGGAGCCCAGCCTACGGCCCAGTTCAGAGCAAGCACGGTGGTTCAACAAAGGGCCGTTAGATGGCTGGGTGGATATGTTGTCTCATTCTGGTTCTGGAGAAAACCTAACTTCCCTACCACTCAACTTTTCCACGTTTCCACCTTGGTTCTAACTTGTGCTGCCTGTTCGAGATGAGATGGGGGCAGGGACAGAGAAGAGCTGTGGCTCTGGAGAGCCCAGGACCTCATTGCCTTCTCAACCACCGGAGCTTCAGAGTCCTTTCTATTCCCCTTAGTGCAGCCTGACTGTGGCATTTCATGAAGGGTCTGTCTACTGAACGAGCTTGGGGGCTCCTGAGGTCAGAGATGTGCCTGGTCCATCACTGTGTCCCTGCACTGGCACCCAAGGCAACACCCTTAACACTACTCTCCAGCAATTGTCCACTGTCTTGTTTGCTCACACACTGGACTATGAGCTCCTGGTGGACAGGGACCAAGTCTGATCCACTTTTGCATTTTCTTTCATACTTACATTGTGACTGATAAGTCACATTTATCCATGCATCAGACTAAGATTTATTGGCATTGGAATGAATGGGCCTTAGAGCCAGAAAGAACGCAGCTGAATTTCCAGGTAAGCTATATATAAGAAGTGTGACCTTGGCCAAGTTATTTAACTTCTCTGAGCTTCGTTTGTAAAATTGGGATAAAATATTCCAACTCTGTAGGGGCACTGTGATGTTAAATGAAATATCATGAGTAGATGTACCTGGTGTCAGTCCTTGCCTACTGTAACTTACAAAGGCATGATGCTAGGTGCTAGGCATGGTCTAATGGTCCTGGAGGTGACAACAGTGAGTCAGACATTGATGCTGTTCTCAGGCTGCATGAGTTTAGTAGAGGAAACAATTACCTCTAATAACTACACAAAGTAATAAAGAACTATAGTGCATGGCAGGAAGTGGTAAATGCCATGAATATGGAAATCTCTTGGACTATTGGAATTAAGGTTGAAAAGTGACTTCCTGTAGCCCCCGATGCTTTGACCTTGGAATATCTGTTTTCCTTTGTTGTTGATGACTCATGAGTAAGGCAAAGACAATAGGTTACACCACACAAAAGGGACACCTTGTTCCAACATATCTCCCCGACCAGGAAGCCTCACTGTCTGAAATTCTGCACTCACAGAAGCACCTTGCTAACACGGCAAGCCTGTCCAGCATGGGTGAGATACAGCTAGACCCATCCACAGCCTGGAGCACCTGCTTGGAATGTTGTATATTGGTAAGGTGATATTGGAGAAGTCCTTTCCCTTCTCTGAGCCTGTGTTTCTTTATTTCTACAGTACTGAGAAGAGCCCATTGTCTTTCCTGCCTCATACACTCTAGTATATCAGGGTTGGGAGAAGAGCTTTCTGAAATATAAAATGCTATTCGTATGTCACTGAAGGATGTGGTTCTTAACACTCAAAGAGCAGTATGAGAAATGAGATGGGTGTGTTTTTATGTTGATAGAAGTATGGTCACAGCCAAGGTGGCCCTAGGTAGATGGTGGCATTTGGAGAAGGTATGCAGCGGCCAGGGAGGGGTGTGAATGTGCAGAATGACTGGTGGGGTCCTTACAGAGGCAAAGAGCCTCTGTGACTAAATATGGGGGCCCAGAGAGAGATGCGGCACTAGATGAGCCAACATCTTGTACTTCTGAGCCCCTGCCCAGGCTGTGCCTCTTCCTACAGTGCCCTCCCCTACCTCTCCAGGCTCACCTTTGGAAAACTGACTTCCCAGAAAATGAGCCTGTCTCGAGGCTTCTGCTGCCCTTTGTAACTCACCTCTCAGCACATCATTTTCTGGGTACACAGTTCTTTGCCTGTCTGTTCTCTCATGAGACTATGAGTTTGATGCATTTGATTTTTCTCTATAACTCCTGAGCAAAGCACAGACCTGGTATGCAGTAGGTGCTTGAGCAGAGGTTGATGAACAGTCTTACCTTTGCCATCCCTGTTGCCCTAAACACCCTGGCCTTGTCATGGCCTTAGAATGTCCTCTTTTTAGGTCTTGCTGCCCACCTTTCACAGCCTATCCCCCAGCATGAAATACCTTCTCTCTCCTTTCTATTCCATTCATTTGAATTCTGCTCATCTTTTAAAACCAAGTTCAAACCCCACTTCCTCCCTGAAGCCTTCTTGAGACACTCATTGGCACCAGATGCTGTCAGAGAGGAATTTCTGTTTGGGCCTCACTTTTCTCTCCTAAAACATGAAGGGGTTGAGACAGATGGTTCTTAGGGGCTTCTTTGGTGCCATCATTTTGCGATTCACACGTTCAGGACTCACTCTGTGCCAGCACCCATGCTGTGCACAAAGACACAGGAGTGACTGAGTTCTGCAAGGAGAGTCTGTTTGGTGGAGAAGCCGGATGTGCAAAGACTCCATGACCACATGCTGTGGGACATACCAGGCTGCAGGTATATGTGAAATGCAGCGAGGAATCCCACAGAGAGGGGCAGCTGTGTCTCAGATGGGGGATGAAAACAGGTGCGATATGTGGAATGGGCTTTGAAAGACAGGGAGGAGTTCGCCATCCAGTGACAAACAGGGAGAATGTTCCAGGAAGAGGGAAGGGGAAGAGGAACAAAGACATGGAGGGAGGATGAAAATAGCTGACTTGTCCTCGCTAAAGCACTGCGCATGACGTGGTAGAGAGCTGGGTGGGGGTGCGGAGAAGGTGCTCACAAGGGGAAGGGGTGTGTTAGAGGCGGTCAGTGAAGTTGTAGATGTAGGCCAGGGCTCTGAATTAACAATAAAAAGAATCGAAATATTATGCTGAAGGTAGTGGGGAGCTATGGCAGGTTTTTGAGAGAGGGCGTAATCTCTCAAAGTACGTTCATATGTAGCTGAGCAGTTGGGGACACTGTTCCACATTGTTTATTATCTTTGCCTGTGTACATGCCTTTCTCCTCCACAGATTTGGCTCCTGATGGGCAAGGGCTATCTGTGTCCTCCCAGCGCCCAGTGCAGGGCCTGGCACATGGCAGGCTCTAGGGTGCTGAGTGATGATCCTACTCCCCCCAGCACACATACAGCCAAGCCCCACAGTGGAGCCGGCCCACCCAGCCTGTCTCGGAGCCTGAGCCCACCTCCACATGGCGGCTGGCTCACCCACCACACTCAGGCTCTGTCTCCTTATGGAGGCTTGCTGGGCCTGTTCACTTTTCCTGTCCAGTTTTCACCCATCTTGTCCCTGAGCCTGGGCTCCTAGGCTCACATTGCTGGCTCTCCCTGGGCACCCTGGTGCCGAATGATGGCCCGGCACCAGGGGTGCTGACAGGCTCCCTCCGGCACAAGGGTAGAAACTGACATATTATAATTATTCACAGAGATGAGAGAAAACAACGATTAATTTTGAGTCAAAACATGTAATTTTCCTTTAAAACCAGAACTGCTCTTTCACTTATGCTATTTGATGCTTCAGTGGAAAATAATACAAGAAAAGGGAAATATTCAAATCCCAAATCAGACTCTTGTGTCCTCCTGGGAATTCATTTTTAAAGAGCTCCAGACCAACTGAGAGCTAAGTGGTGTTCACAGTTTGATGAGGCGGCAATGTGGGGTCAGAGAGGGTGTTAATTTTGTTTTTCTTAATTTAAGGGTGGGTGCATTTACTTTAAGTCCTTAAGGTTGTGAACTCTGAGAAATGAGCTTTCCCACTGTTTTCTAACAATGGCTCCAAAGCACAGGGCAAGCAGGCTTCCATGACCAGGTGAAGTCAAGGTGCTGAGAATTGCTGTGTGTCCTTCAGAGCGCGTTTCAGCGTCCCTCCCCCCGCGCCGTGCCAAAGAACCCTTCACTGTCTGACGCGGAGGACACCAGGCCGGGGATCTCAGGGCCCAGGCTCCAGCCCTGCGTCTGAGCAGTCCCATCTGCCCCCTGGACCTCCACCCCCTCATCCCCATCGTGAGGGAGGGTCCCAGATGGTTGCTGAAGTCCCTGAAGGTCAGCAGCCTTTCACTGGTCTGTGGCAGCGCAACCGGCAGGACAAACGTGGTACAAGGTCGAGATAATGTTAGTCAGGCTGGCAGAGGGCCTGAAAGTGACAGTCCCCACATGAACTTGTCAATGAGACTCTAAGGATTCTTTTGAGTTTTATAAAGCTTTAAATTTTTAAGAGCTTTCACCAATCAAGAATGACTTCTAAGAATGCACGGAGTACTTTTCTCTAGAGGTGAGCCCCTCAAAGGCAGGGTCACGCCTTCACCATTTACACATTCAGCTCCGTCCTTCCCCCGCAGCCCCTGCAGGAAGTGTTGTTTTCCCAGGTGAATGAATGAATGAGCAGATGAAGGGGGCAGTGAACGAATGCGCACAGGAGTGCAAGCTCAGTCCAGTCCCGGCACTGTGGGGGCACAGAGGGAAAGTCAACGTGATCCTCCCCCAAGGACTGGGGGCCACGCAGAGCCCACATGATGGTGAACAATCGAGACAGACCGTGCGTGAGAGTGCATTGTCACGCGGACTCCGCCTGGAGCTGGGGCTCAGAGACAGGTGACTCACAGCACGGTTTAGCCTGGGCCCCGAGACCCTCCGGCCCATCCAGGGAGGTCTGGGGACTGGCCCTAGGCTGCAGTGAGCCTGTTGGGAATCTGGGACTGCAACCCAGAAACCAGAGGAGATGGAAACATCTATTGAGCACCTGCTGGCTGCCAGGCACTGGACTGAACTTGTACCTAATCTTTAAAATCATCTTTAGAGGCCGTTGTTAGTACCCCAACTTTACAGATAGATAGAGAAAGGTTTCAAAGAGGCCAAGAACCTTGCCTAAGACTCCACAGTGAGCATGAGCTTGAGAAAGAATTTGAACCCACACTTCCCAGGGAGAACTTCACTGGACTTCAGTCCAGCTTGGGAATCATAACAGCCTAGGATGAAATCCTGGCTCTGACAAAAAATTTTTTTTTAAATTTCAGGCAATTCTCTTCACCTTTCTGAGCTCCCTTTTCCTCATTCATAATATGGAAAATATAATATCTACAAGGAATAAATAAATAAAATCTGGTAGAACTATTACTTCACTCAATAAATAACAGTGGTTAATAAAGTTTTTGTTAACAACAAGGTAAGGAGGAAGGTGCATCAGGGAGGAAGGTGCAAAGGCCCTGAGGCAGAGAGCACATGGTCAAGGTCTTTGGCAAGGACAGGGGGAAGACTGGTCTGGCAGGAGCAGTAAGTTAGACACCTTCATGTCCTTCACTAAAGGCTGCGCCACTGGGGGAGTAGGACGTGCAGCCAAGAGGCAGGGCAGGGTCAGCACAACCCAGGTACCCAAATGCTCACTGGGCTCACCTCCAGCAGCCATGGGGATGCCCAGTGCTTTTGGCTCTGGTCCAGCCCTTAGGAATGATGCTCTTCTCCTGATCTTCTCTCCTCACTGGCCCTGGCAGAGCACTGGAGCTGAACCTTCTCAGGGGTGTGTTCTCTCCAGCCCTGAACCTTTGCATCTTGAGGGAAGGGGTCTAGCATGCACTGAGGGGACATAGCCCATATGGCACTGTGCCCGGTGTATTAATGCCCACCTCACAATAATCTTCCAACAACGCTATTGTCCCCTCTTGATGGATGAGGTTCGTGGAAGGATCAGAGGTCTTATGAGCTGAGATGATGTGGGAGTCCCTGAGGATGAGTTCTCAGATGAAGTCGCATGGGGTACCACCCAGACTATCTTGGAGTGATGACTGCACTCGGCTCCCAGTAACCCCCATCTCTGTGGACTCCCATGAAATGTGGCGACCCCTCACTGCCTGACCCCTATTGTACCTCATACTCAGGAAATGCTCTGTTACACTCTTCTGCCGCAGATGGGAAACTGGGGGCCAGAGAGAGGCTGAGGAAAGCTGCCCCCGAACACAAATACAGTAGAGCAGGACTCCAGCCCACACTGCTCTGCACAGCCACTTACCGCAGCCTCGGCATGGGCAGCGCCAGTTTCTCAGCCATGGGGTTCAGCCGATAGTAGTCCAGAAAGGTTCTGGCCACGTTCCGCCCTAGCTTCATATCTGCAAGTGTATGCGTTAAGGAACAACTTGGAGAAGAGATTGAGGCAGAGTGAAAAAAGGAGCAGTATTAGAAATGATAACAGTAATAAAGGCAGTCACACCTCTCACAACGCAAAGTTTTTGTGTGGCAGATACTATTTTTCACAAAACCTTAAGTAGTAGATACTGTTATTTTCCTCATTGAACAGACAAGGAAACAGGTGCACCCAGTCATGGTCTGCCCAGGGCCACAGAACGGGGAAGGAGCGGCCCAGGGCGTGCATCTAGGCAGCCTGCCCCCACAGACCGTGTCCGCAGTGTCCAGACCGCACTGCGTACCTTTGGAATCACGGGGCTTCTGTGTTTTGGCTGCAGGGGTCTCAGGATGGAGGCCAATGAGCAAGGCCAGAGAGCAAGACACCCTTTTCTGTGCACGGTGCAGGGCCTGCTTGACCCTCTGGGGTCAGTCACCTACTGTGGTTGCCCCAGGGACCGCGGCAAAAGCCTCTCGTCCCAAATCGTGTCCCCATTCCACTTTGAAATCTACTAACAACGGATCTTTGGTTAAGGGCTCATGACGCACTGAAGTACGAGCTCCCTGGGAACCATAGTGACCATTAATACATACATTCGTCCCACAGTCATCTGTTCAGCTACAGGGAGTGAATGCTCTGTGCATTGTGTCTCAGTGCTCTGGGCCTTCACAGGAGCTGTTTCCCCTACCTGAAGTCCTCCCCGCTTCCCTTTGCTAATTTATGCCTATCAAGTCTCCAGTCAGGTGATATCCCTTTAGTAAAGCCTTCCACGGTACGTCCCTCCCGTTGCCCCATTCTTCCATGGCCTCTGCGCTGACTTCACTCCAACCACTCATCACTTATCTGATACCCCTCAGCTCTGAACACCCAAACTGTCACCAATTCCTCCTCATGAGACCTCCAGTCTCTTGTGTGTGTCCACCTCTCTGCAGGTCCCTGCTGTCTGAGAAAGGGCCAGTGCCACCCATCCCCTGGATTACGGTTCCTCTGTCCCAGTGGGACTCCATGCCTCTACCCTGCACAGCCAGGAGGGAGGTTTTAAAACACAGATTTGACCATGTTACCCAACTGGGTAGAACCTTTCAGTGGATCCCAATTGCCTTTAAATTTCAAATCTTGGAACTTGATTTACAAAGTCCTTCATAGTAGGGTCCCTGATTAGTTTGTCGGCTTGCGCTTGCTACCTCCCACCTTCTACCCATGTCCTTGCCCTTCACACCCAGCGATACTGAACTGTTTTCCCTCCAGAACTTCGCCTAAACCGACTGTCTTCTCATACGACCCTCACACCCTCCATGTGCCTCACAGGGCCGACTCCTTCTCCACCTGCGGAAACCTCCGTGTAGTTGTCCCTTCACAACACAGGTCTCAGCCACCATGCCATCCGGGGTCTTGGGACTGGACCAGCACTTGCAGAACAGTCAAGTGAGTTCTCTGCGCCTTCTTCAAAAAGCCCCCAGCTTGGGGTTGGGCCTGACCTAGCACATGAAAACTAGCATTTCTGGAGCACATGGCATGTGCCCCACCCTGCACTGAGTGCTTTGTTTACACATGCATATTGATCATCAAAACAACCCAGTGAGGAAGGCATTTTCCAGGAGGTTAAGGAACTCGTTCAAGGTCAGGACTAAAACCAGGAATGTCTGCTTCCAGATCCATGAACTTTCCACAACCCTGGACTGTTTCCCAACTTGAAGGCACCTTTTCTGTCAAGGGCTGAGTCATCCCAGGCCAGCGCCTGGTGGGAGAAGGAAAAACACCAGATGAGTTGTTTATGACAGTGAGCTCCACTGTGGGCTCGCTGTGCTCTGGGGCTGCCACCTGCTTTCTTCCTCTGGATCTGACCGACCTTCTCTGTCCTCTTCTTTAAAAAGTTCACAAGCTGACATTGGGCATGACCTTTCTGACCAGCAGACCCTGAAGGCAGCCTCACTGCTAGGTGCACAGAAGTAGCTGCTGCTCAGACCCAGCCAGCTCTCATCAGCTGGAGGAGACCAAACCACAGTTGTATGTACCAGCGGTAAGGGGCACCGTGAAAAGGAGAGATCCCTGTGGACTGGGCTGCAAAGTTGCAGCAGAAGTTTTGGAATCAGATGTATCTATTCTCAATCCTGGCTCTGCCACATGCTGTGTACTGCAGATTGTATTTTCCAAAGATCTCTGCAACAGTAGCTCCAACTCCCATGTTATTCTACACCATGACCTTGACACTCCTCCCACTGAGAGATGGGGTCTATGTCCCCTCTTCTTGACTCTGGGTGGGTTTGTGACTCACTTGTAACTAAAACAAGTGGTCAAAGTGACACTGTGGGACTTGTGAGGCAAGGTCAGAAAAAGTGATGTCATTTGCCCCTTGCTTAGTAGAATATTCCAGCTGGGGTCCTGAACCTCCATGCCAGCAGTCCTGAAGTTGCCGTGCTGTGAGGAAGCCCGAAGTAGCCCACGGAGCGCTGCAGGGAGAGGCCCTGAGACCATGTGGAGAGACCACGACAGAGGGATTCCCAGTCCTCCCACAGCTCCTCCAGCACTCTGTTCTTCCAGCTCCAGACATCAGCTAACTGCAGTTCTGTCAAAGACTCCAAGCTAGAACCACCCAGCTGAGCCTGTCCCAAATTTCTGACCTATAGGAAACACGGGAGAATAAGTATTGTTTTCCACTCTAAGTTTGGGGGAGATCTGTTATGTTGTAATAGAGAACTAGAGCACTGTGTGACCTCCTATACGTGATCCAGTCTCCGGAGCCTTAGTTTCCTGATCTGTGAGTGTGAACAAAGACGCCTGCCTCCCAGGGTTGTCGTGACAAAGTGTGTGACCAACGAAGGAACAGGAGTTGACTGAATAGATAAATGAATGGGGAAGAGGGAAGCCTGGACCCTTCCTCCCCAGCCTGCAGTGACAGACAGACCTGAAGCAACCCTGGGGGATATCCCTGGTAATCGACCCTCTGGAGTTCCGAAAGGCAAAGGAGTTGGGCTGCTCCAGTACAGTGTCCCAGTGAGGTGTTCATCATTTTAGACAAGCTCTGTTTAAAAGGCCCTTTCAAAGGTGGGAGTTGTCGGGAACAACCCTCTTTCCCTCTCCCTCTCCAACCACAGTACATAGCCCTTACACTCCGAGAGCCTCACTCTAGATTATTTACTGCAATGGCCCTGTCTCAGTCAAGCAGTGGGACGTGGGTGGAAGATGGGGAGAGAGTGATTGAACACTTTCAATTAAAACAAGCTGCCTTTGAACAAAGATTTAAGATCCAGGCAAGGCGGAGGCAGTAACTCTCTTGGCTGGAACCTGTTCGATGTATTGCAGAATTCAGAGAGAGAAAAACTGGGATGAAAACTCCCAACTCTTCAGTGCCAACAAAAATCTCAGGATGGGCTGCAAGTGGGAAATGTCAGCCCCCTCAGAGTCTCATGGAGCCCGCAGGTGTGTTTCCTGCAGCCGGCGGAAAAGACTGCGGCCGGGATCAGGGCGTTTCAGTCCGTGAGGCAGGAGGGTTTTGCGGAGGCTGCCTGCAACTCACACCGATTCAGCCACTTCTTCCCGGAGCTGTTTGGAACTGAAGGGTGGGTGTCAGTATCCCCAGCCTCCTAGTTCGTGGGGCCCTTCAATAGGTACGGTGGGGGGGGGGGGGGAGTTGGACATTTGCTGCTCATTCTCATGTGTATACGGCTCAAAGGGTGACGGAGGCTGGGGTTAGATACGGAAGAATTAGACCGAAACGGTTCACAGTGCAGAGGAAGAAATAAACCAGTCCAAATTAGCCACATTACCAAGCAGGCTGCCGCATCGGCACCTTCACTCTGCGTATGGTACCCTGCAGTCACCGTCGCCAAGGGCAGAGCGCGATTCTGCACGTGCGTTACAGAGGAGGAAACTGAAGACAGGCGAGTTCGCATAGTCAGCCAGAATCTCGCGGCTTGGAAATCACAGACGTAGCATATGAACCAGTGTCTTTCAACACCACGCCTGTGGTTTTTTTCCTCTCGTGAGTGTGATCATAAATTCAAACACTGAATTCTGTGGACACGTGAAAGGAGATTTAATTCCAAATGATGGACTTGTGAAAGGCTTCATGGAAGTGGGTGTATGAGCAAGGTTTGAGGGACCAAGATGAGTCTGCAAGGGGAGGAAGAGACAGGCGGGAGTCTGGAGAAGCAGGAAGTGTGGCGTGGGGCGGGGGAAGTGACCTTGGGCCAGAAATAAGACCGAGGAGGCCCCGGGGCCCACGGAGCTGAAGCGCACAGAGAGAGGTGAGCTCGCAATAGCAAGTAGGCTGGAGACTGAGCCGTCGGGGCTTTGACTGCCAAATTATGGAATTTAAACTTCTATTCTGTAGGCAATAAAAAATAGTAAATATCTACGGTTATATCTGTGGCATGGCATTTATCAATCATCTACGATGATGTTCAGATTCTCCAGAGGGCTTGGGGTATTCTGTGGGAAAAAAACTGACAAAATGAAACAAAACAAGGAACAACTAGGACAGTGGTTCTTAAGTCTAGAAGTGGAGACAGACAGCAAAGGAACATACGCCCAGGTGAATGCAGGACCGCGGCTGTAGCAGTGTTGTGAAGAACGCACGGGGCCTGTGGCTGAGCCAATGAGAGTGCAGCTGCGGGCGGGGCAGGGCGGGGCGTGGGCAGGCCTCTCTGCGGAGACGCCCCTCGTGAACTGGGAGTGGACAGTGGCGTGGTGGCCTCTGCGAAGGAGGAAGGACGGCAGGAGGGAAGGGTCCTTGTGGGAGACGGGGACAGAGAGGGCTGACGTGGAGAGACTGGCAAGGGCTCGTCACAGGGACCTTGTTCTGGGCCACCTTAAGGAGCCTGGATTCCCTGAGGCAATGGGAAGCTACTAAAGAGCTTTAAGCAGGAAAGTGCGATGGTCTGATTTGTGTTTTTAAAAGGTCACTGCTGTGCTTAAAATAAGAAAAGCAGAGCGGAAGCAGGTAGATCAGCCAGGAGACTACTGCAAGGGTCTGGTAAGGGAAAG